CATTATTGGTGTATAAAAAAAGCCATTGATTTTTGGGTGTTGATTTTATATCCTGCAACTTTGCCAAACTCATTTATTAAATCTAGTATTTTTTTTGTGTGTGGAGTCTTTAGGGTTTTCTTTGTATAACATCATGTCATCTGCGAGTTTTACTTCCTCCTTTCCAATTTGGACGCTTTTTATTTCTTCTTGTCTGATCACTGTGGCTAGGAATTCCAGTATTATGTTGAATAAGAGTAGTGAAAGCAGACATCCTTGTCTTGTTTCTGTTCTTAGGGGAAATGGTTTTAGTTTTTTCCCATTGAATATGATGTTCACTGTAGGTTTGTCATATATGGCCTTTATTATGTTGAGATATGCTCCCTGTATTCCCACTTTGCTGAGAGTTTTTATCAAAAATGGGTGTTGGGCCCTAACCAGTTTGGCTCAGTGGATAGAACGTCAGCCTGCGGACTGAAGGGTCCCAGGTTCAATTCTGGTCAAGGGCATGTACTTTGGTTGCGGGCACATCCCCAGTAGGGGGTGTGCAGGAGGCAGCTGCTCGATGTTTCTCTCTCATCGATATTTCTAACTCTCTATCCCTCTCCCCTCCTCTCTGTAAAAAATCAATAAAATATATATTTTTAAAAATGGGTGTTGGAGCCCTGGCTGGTTTGGCTCAGTGGATGGAGAGTTGGCCTGCAGACTGAAGGGCACATGTCCAGGTTGTGGGCTCGATCCCAGTAAGGGGCATGCAGGAGGCATCCATTCAATGATTTTCTATCATTGGTGTTTCCATCTCTCTCCCTCTCCCTTCCTCTCTCTGAAATATATATTTTTTAAAATACATTTAAATATATTTTTTAAAAATATTTTTTAAAAAATGGGTGTTGGATTTTGTTGAATGCTTTTTCTGCGTCTATTGATATGATCATGTGATTTTTGTCTTCCAGTTTATTTGATGTATCATATTTATTGGTTTGCAAATATTGTACCAGCCTTGCATACCTGGACTAAATCCCACTTGGTCGTTATGTATGATCTTTTTAATATATTGCTGGATCCGATTTGCTAATATTTTGTTGAGGATTTTAGCATCTATGTTCATCAAGGATATTGCCCTGTAATTTTCTTTCTTTGTAGTGTCTTTATCTGGTTTTGGAATTAGGATAATGCTAGCTTCATAAAAAAGAGCTTGGAAGTGTTCCTTTCTCTTGGATTTTTTTGAATTGTTTCAGGAGGATAGGTGACAGTCCTTCTTTGAATGTTTTGTAAAACTCCCCTGTGTAACCATCCAGACCCCAGCTTTTGTTTGCTGGGAGTTTTTTTTATTACTGCTTCAAATTCATCAGTAGTTATCATCCTATTCAGGATTTCTGATTCTTCCTGATTCAGTTTTGGGAGATTGTATTTTTCTAGGAATTTGTCCATTTCATCCACATTTTCCAGCTTGTTGGCATATAGTTATTCATAGCATTTTCTTCAAATTCTTTGTATTTCTATGGTGTTAGTGGTTACTTCTCTCCTTCATTTCTGCTTTTTTAAAAATTTGGGTCCTCGCTCTCTGTTTCTTGATTAACCTGGCTAATGGTTCATCAATTTTGTTTATCCTTTGAAAAAACCAGCTCTTGGTTTAATTGATTTTTTTGCATGGTTTATTTAGTCTCTATGCCATTTATTACTACTCTAATCTTTGTTATTTCCTTCCTTATACTTACTCTGGGCTTTTCTTATTGTTCTCTTTCTAGTTCTTTAAGTTGTAGAATGAAATAGTTTATTGATTATTTTTCTTATTTGTTGACATAGACCTGTAGTGTTATGAACTTCCCTCTGAGGACTGCTTTTGCTGTGTCCCAGAGATTTGGGGTTGTTGTATGTTCATTTTCATTTGTTTCCAGGAAGTTTTTTATGTCTATCTTGATCTTGTTGGTAACTCATTCATTGTTTAATAACATGCTATTTAGCCTCTATGTATTTGAATGTTTTTTGGTGTTTGTACTGTAGTTAATTTTTAACTTAATTCCACTGTGATTTGAAAATGATGCTTGATATGATTTCAGTCTTTTTGAACTTGTAGAGACTTGTTTTGTGTCTTAACATGTGGTCTATCTTTGTGAATGATCCATGTGCACTTGAGAAGAAAGTATGTTCTGCAGCTTTGGGGTGAAATATTCTATAAATATCAATTAAATCCATCTGATTCAGTGTGTCCTTTAGAGTCTCTATTTCCTTGTTAAGTTTTTGTCTGGAAGATCTATCCAGTGAAATTAGTGGGGTGTTGATCTCTCCCTTAAAGTCCTCTAGACGTTGGTTTTTATATTTAGGTGCTCCTATGTTGGGTGCATATATGTTTACCAGGGTTATATCCTCTTGTTGGATTGATCCCTGTAGTATTATGCAGTGACCTTTGTTGTCTCTTGTGATAGTCTTCATTTTGAAGCCTATTTTGTTGGATAGGAGTATTGCTACTCCAGCTTTTTTTCTTTTCCATTTGCATGGATTTGTTTTTCTATCCTGTGTGTGTCGTTTGTTGTGAGGTGGGTTTCTTGTAGATAGCATATAGTTGGGTCAGGTTTTTGTATCCATTCAGCTACCCTACGTCTTTTTATGGGAGCATTTAATCCATTTACAAAAAAAGGTTATTATTGATAGGAATTTATTTATTGCCATTTTAATTCTGTATGCCTAGGTTTCTCTCTCTATTTCTTCTTCTCATTACAGAAGTCCCTTTAGCATTTCTTATAATGCTAGCTTGGTGGAGATGTACTCTTTTATCCTTTTTTTTTTTTTTTTTGGTCTGGGAAGGTCTTTATTTGACCATCTATTTTTGAATGATAGCCTTGTTCAATATAGTAATCTTATGGCCTGTATTGTTTCTGATGAAAAATCATGTGTCAGCCTTATGGGAGTTCCTTTGTAGGTAACAGTTTGCTTTTCTTTTTCTGCCTTTAAGATTATCTCTTTCTCTTTAATTTTTGACATTTTAATTATGATGTGTTTCTGTGTGGGTCTATTTGGGTTCTTCTTGCATGGAGTTCTTTCTTCTCCTGAACTTGTGTGACTTTTTCCTTTACCAGGTTAGTGAAGTTTCTGCCATTATTTTTTCAAAAATGTTCTCTGTCCCTTTCTCCCTTTGTGCCTCTTCTGGCACACCTACTCTCTGGAAAAGCTGCTGCTAACATCTTGGGTGGGGCTGCAAATTGGATGGGGCAGGGTCTCAGGGAATCACCAGAGTGGAGTGAACAGTGTGAGTCAGGCTGAGGGAAACTCAGATATGCTGCCAGTAAGCTCTGTGACAGTACAGGAACAATGATCCCTAGGAGGACCCCTATCTGAGAGAAAGCTGCCCCCAAGTTCCTGCCCTGATGTCAGACAATCCAGTTCCTCCCCATATGTCCCTGGGTCCCCCAAAGCCCCCTGGTCCTGGAGCTCAGAGGGATCGAGTCCTAGTAAGTTCATGCACCAGCCCTTTAAAAGGAACACCCGGGTCTCCAACAGCCTCCAATGTACTTAGCCACAATCCCCGCTAGTGTTTTCAGCTCGAAGTTAGGGGACTTCTCTTCCCAGCTCTGGAACCCAGGGCTGGGGGTCTGGTGTAGGGTTGGGACCTCTTGCTTCTCATACGTGGCCTCTGCAGAGATGATCTCCCTCCTGATTAAAAAGAAGCACATATGGGTGTCAGATCAGCCTGTTTTGCACCTGCACCCCTACCAGTTTTAATGTGCTTTCTTCTGTACTCCTCTAGTTGTAGGACTTCCATTCAGCCAGCTTTCAGGCAGTTCTGAATGATAGTTGTTCTGTATTTTAGTTGTAATTTTGATGTGGTTGTAGGAGGTGCCGCATACCCTTGTTTACCTATGGCACCATCTTGGTTCTGGGGAACCACTTCTTTAAACTGAAAGTTCATATTTTATTCATCTGGCAGGCTCAAGGATGGCCTCCATTGCCCTCTTCTGGCTAAACTATAAACTTACTTCAGGTTTCCAGAGCAAGAGGAAAGTACAAATTATGGGTTGGAAGGAAATACTTGTCTGAAATCAAACCAGCCTAAAAACAGCAATCATAATAATTGTTTGTTGCTTCAGAGTATACTTTAAAAACTATTCACAAGAATTATTTGATCTTTGCAACAATCCTGTGAAATAGGCAACACTGGCATTTTCATTTTACAAATGAGGAAAACAGGCCTATTGTCAGGACAGTAATGAGAGACTCCCTGGTAGAGGGGGCTTGTTAAATGTAGGATTTATTCACAATCCATTTGGGAAAAGTACAGGTTTGTTCTCATGAAAGCCAAAGATAAGGGAGTGCAGAAGAGGATGACGAACAGTTGATTCACATGTAAGGGAGCTACTTGATTCCAACAGCCTGGGAAAAATGGCTGGATCCTTTCTCCAGCTGTGCTATGTGGGCTAACCCTTAGTTCTAAGCACCCAACATCTCAATTTCCTATCTCAGTAGTCAGACTTGAATGTCCATAGAATCATCTAGGGAGCTTGTTACAGGTGAAGGTCCTTGAATCCCATCTCCAAGGTTCTGTTTCAGTAGGTCCAGAGCAGGACCTGGGATCTGCATTTTGAGACATACCCTCTGCCCTTTGGAACTTTGGAACTCCTAGTCCATGAAAAATGCTCTCTTAGCACACCACCAGCAGCAAAGAATTATTATTTGCCTAGGACAGTATTCCTTTCTAGCCCCTCTCTGCTTCCCTCACCCATAAGTCCCGCTGGGTTATGATCGTTAAGATTCAATCCTCAACTCTTTGATATACTCTCTCCAAACCTCAGTTTTCTCGTCTATAAAATGAAATAATGCCTACCTTACTGGGCTTGAGTGAGGATTAAATGAGAAAGTATGTCCTATATATAGTTCCTGTAAAACGTGTGTAATAAACATGAGTTCATGGATCTTGCCTTCTGATTCCTAGCTCCTCAAAAAGTATAGTGGCTAAGCTGGCATGTTTTGGATTTCCACAGGTTTTTAAGGAATGGTCTTGAGCAGGACCAGGGATAATCAAGGTGATGTCTTCCCCCAGACTCATTCCCCTGTGGAAGGATTTTAAATACCTCATAAGTGACATACCTAAAAGCCAGGTAATGTATATGTAGGACATAAACGTTATTTGCCTCTGTATATCTTAATAGTTATGAGCACTTCTGAGGAGCATAGATCCATGGAAGCAGGCAGAGGAGACCATAAAGGCAATTGTCACCTTAGGAAGAAGTGGACCATCAATTTCTAAATGAGTCTAGGGACCTGTTGGAAAGACCCTTTTTAAAATCCTCATCTGAGAGGGAGGGAGGGAGTGAGGAAGAGAGAGAGAGAGAGAGAGAGAGAGAGAGAGAGAGAGAGAGAGAGAGAGAAGCGATGTGAGAGAGAAATATCAATTGGTTGCCTTGTGTATGCACCCCAGCTGTGGCTCAAACCTGCAACCTAGTATGTGCTCTGACCAGAAATCGGCCTGTAACCTTTTGTTGTACAGGACAATGCTCCAACCAACATTGAGCCACCTGGCCAGGATTTGCAAGACATTTTTTGTTGTTGTTGCTGTTAATCCTCACCCATTTTCCATTGACTCTTTAGAAAGAGTAGAAGGGAGGCAGTGAGGGAGGGAAGAAGAGAGAGAGAAAGAAAGAGAAACCTTGATGTGAGAGAGATATCGATTGGTGCCTCCTGCACATATACAGAACAGGGCCCAGAATCCAACCCCTCAGTGCATGGGATGAAACTCTAACAACTGAGCCACACCAGCCAGGTCTTGCAAGGACATTTTGATAGTGGAAGGTGAACACTTTGGAGATTTGTCAGAGGAACCAGCCCCTGAGAAAAGAGATTTTTCTAAAAAAGAAAGGAGCCCTAGCTGTTTTGGCTCAGTGGTTGGGGTACCTACCCACGGACTGAAGGGTCTCGGGTTCGATTCTGGTAAAGGGCACATACCTTGCAGTTCAGTTCAGTTCAGGACATGTGTGGGAGGTAACCAATCGATGTGTCTCTCTCACATCAATGTTTCTTTCTGTCTCTCCTCCTCCCTCACTGCCTCAGGTGAGGATTAACAACAACAAAATAATAAATAAAAGAGAAAGGATAAGGCACTAGAGAAAACATTTGCCAACCTCAGTTTTGCTAAAGTTAACTCTGTGAATAAGGATCCCAATTTCATGTTGAATAGCACATGTTCTATCACTGTGGGATAATATATTTTTTATATACATCATCCTGTCAAATTTAAAGGCCAGGTAGGGTGTCCTAGAAATCTTATTTAGTGTACTTCTAAGCCTTAATAACTTAAAGCTGCACTGACTTTTGGGACACTGTTGCATTGTATGTGGGTATATGGCAGTGCTCTTTCCTAATTAAACTGTTAAATGTGTCTTTTATGGCATATGTACCTTTTAGACCAGCGGTTCTCAACCTGTGGGTCGCCTAAGACCATCGGAAAACACATATATAATTACATATTGTTTTTGTGATTAATCACTATGCTTTAATTATGTTCAATTTGTAACAATGAAATTGGGGGTCACCACAACATGAGGAACTGTATTAAAGGGTCGCGGCATTAGGAAGGTTGAGAACCACTGTTTTAGACAAAAGGGAGAATGTTAGAGGAGAGGTATAGTTAACTTCATATTGAGAAGAACATCAGTTTCCCCTATGCTCACACTATAAAATTTGCCCACAGAGGCCCTATAGAGATTTGGTTCTCTTATGTTGGGGGTTTTGTTACGTGCTTGCTAAGAGTAGGTGTCCATAAGTGATACGTTGTGCATGTGTGGGCTTAACACGAGTGGTCCTTGAGAGTGTGGCATGACTTTTGGAACTGCTTCAATTGTAGCTTAAGTGAGAATATATTTAGTACATTTGTGTCCTGTTCTCTTACTTTATGCCATGACTCTCCCCAGCAAAATTTAGATGATTCAAAGAATGACGTAGTTGTGCTGAGTGACCGGTCTGAGATACTATTCAAAGAGTCTCGTCATCCTCAGAATATGCCATTTATATGCTATTACTTCAGTGATGCCGACTTCTTTGCCTCCCTCTCGTGGGTGACAAGCACAAAAGAAATACAGGTAAAACTGCCTACTCTTTCTTCTTTTTAGCCCATTCTACAGGGGCCTTGCCCATATAAGCCCTGACCCAGTGACCTGGAGAGCATGTGAGATTTTGCTCCCAGACATATGTCCTCATTATGGCTTAAACAAACTCTTATTTTTTTAAAAAGTGACCTGGCACCAGGAATTCTCCCTCATACTTTCTCAAATTACAGTCTTCACATTAAATAGATTTTATGGTTTCCCTAAAGTAGGCCAAGCTTAAGGAAAGAATCTTATGCTTCTTGCTTCTACAATCACCATAATCAAGGGGTAAAATTATTTTAGAATCTTCTAATTCCTCCTTGGTATGAGAATAGGGGGAAACAGCTGAATATTTTCCCCTTTCCTCTTCTACTATCATTTCTAGGCAGTTTCCATCTATTCTATTCTAGGCTGTAGTATGGATGAAGAGCAAAACTGAGGACATGGTCGAGAAGAGAACATTCTCCATGACTGAACGATTGCCGCCCATCCAGTGTATGGTACACACAGGTTCCTTTCATATCCTTGTGGCCTACTGTGGTGACTTGCTTCTGCGGCTCTTTGGGGACCACTTTCGGTCATTCAAACCCCTGGGTATAGTGCCTTGCCGCTTTAACATCAACTGCCTCTGCTATGACCCAGAAATGAAGATGCTTCTGTCAGGTATCCTGGGGGCAGTGGTCACCTGGACCATTGAGCAAAGTGGCAGGGGCCTCCAAATCGCCCACATGGTTTCCATGCCTGGTGATGAACTTGTCCAGGACATCATATTGAATGGCCCCAGTGGCTCCCTCCTAGCCCTGTGTGAGACTGTGGTGAGGGTCCTTGAGCGCCAGGGCCCGAGCCAGCTAGGAGAAGTGAAAAGGTTCACTTCTACCACTAGTGGCTCATCTATCACCTGCTGCTTCACCTGTTTTGATCAGGGCTTTCTCTATGCTGGAAATAGGACTGGGTACATCCAGGTATGGAGCCTCAGTCAGAGCTACTCTTTCCACAGTTTCAAGGCCCATTCTTCATCAGTGATATGTATCTGCAGCCGGCCAGAAGCCCACACCCTGCTAACAGCTGGTAAGGAGGGTTCCATTAAGGAGTGGAGCCTTACTTCTGGGAACCTGCTGCGGCAACTAGAACTTGGTGAGGAATTGTATCGACTCCAATTTATTGATAACATTACTTTCTTCTGCCAAACTGCCCATACTTTCTCCTTGCGCCGTCTGCCCTGTTTCTATAGCCTCTTCAATGTTTGTGGCTCTGCTCCAGAGCAGGTTCGTCGGGTCTGCTGTGGTAATAACTGGTTCCGGATCCTATGTACTACGGAGGATGGCTTGTTACGCTTTGTGTCCCCAGTAACAGGGGAGCTTCTGGTTCTCACCTGGCCCTTCTCAATCCTGGACCACGCTGTGGATTGGGCCTATGACTCAGATAAAGAGGAACTCTTTGTAGCAACAGGGGGCTCAGAGGTGCTGGTCTTTGACACAACCCGCTGCCCTTGCCCAGCCAAGTATCTTTTATGCACCTCACCAAATTCTCAGGACTCAGTACAATGTATGGCTTATGGGCATTTCCACCTGCGTCGGGGCCTAGAAGGACTAATGTTTTCTGGATACCAGAGTGGTATGATAAGAGTCCTTTCCCAGCACAGCTGTGCCCGAATAGAGAAATTCATGCACTTTGGGGCTGTATTGGCCCTCTCTACACTGCCTGGAGGGCTTTTAGGTGGCCGAGAAAACTCTTTGCTTTGTTCTTATGGAATGGATGACTACATACGCCTATCAGAAGCTGTGCTTAATGGGACCAGAGTACATCTGCGTCCTCTAGCTAGCATTCTCAGCAGCTGTCACCTAAAACACCTGATACTCTTGCCAAAGTCTGTGGGTGCCATCACAGAAACTAACTGTCTGCGTCTCTGGAAATTCCATGATTTTCTGCCCTCTGAAACACATGCAAAGTTTATAGAGACGTTGCCTCTGCATCAGTATGCAATTACTTCCTTTGATGTATGCCTGACCTTGAGTCTTTTTGTCACAGGTAGTATTGATGGCTCTGTCCGAATATGGAACTTTCACGGTGGACTTGTAGCCATGCTGGACTCAACATTGCATTTTGGTCCACTCTGCTTTGCAAATGACCGGGGTGACCTGCTTGTGACTTTCAACCAGAGTCTTTATCTGGTATCCTGTTTAAAACTACTTCCTCCAACCCTGTTGGTTCGCCTTTCCTTTATGAGTATCACAGATGACGTGCTAGAAATCCCTAAGCCTTTCATACCAAGCTTCTTCTTCTCCTTTGAGACCATGTTTGTGCCCAAGTATAACTACCTTGGACAAGGGCAACAAGTATTAGTGGGTTTGGAGAAACTTGTCAATAAGCGGGCCATTGCCTTTGACCATACTGTGCCACATGTCATAGAAGACGATGAGCAAGGAAGCTCCATATTACTGTCTACCTCAAGACCTTGTTCCTTGAAAAGGGAAGACACTGTTATATGCTTGAGCAAACCTTATCCCCATTATGTGGTTCCTCCCCAACTACAGTTGACTGCCTGGGATGGACTCAACCCTTATCAGATACTGAAATGCTACTTTGGTTATGGGCGGAAATGGCCCTTTGCTCCTGATTGCTATATCCCTAACTCAGTGATTCGTGCCCGTCTTTGGCCAGAGGGCAGCCCAATATACCTACAGTGCAACCTGCATTCACCCATACGGAAGTTGGAATGGGACAAGTCTCAACAATTCTTCTGGCACAGTAAGGCAAAACCAATACATGATGTAAAAGAACCACAGGAAAAGGAAGATGAAGACTTCATAAAAAGGAGAATGTCCAAGGACATAACTTATAGTGTCCTTACAGACACAACAAACCGTAGTTGGCTGGGAAAAAAGATGAATGAAGTAGCTATTAATAGCTTGATTGAGACAATCCTCAACATTATGATTTATGCTCCTCCTCCAGTGAAGTACCAACACTGTGTTAGTGCACTAGGGCAAATCTTTGCTTCTTACCAAGTGTCTGCACCCCTGCGCTCTGAAACAGCCCATCGTCTGCTGGATGATACAACCAATTCTAATCCACTGATCCGAGAGCTAGCCTGGGAAGGGCTGAATCGTCTAGGAATTATCACTCATCTCTTTGCCATGGCTCTGGCCCAAGGGTTAATGGACAAGGACCAAAGAGTGAGGAATAAGGCACTGAACCTCATGGCTGACACTGGAATCCACTCTAAGACTTCACTCTTAAACTTGATCCAGAATCGAGATACTTTCCAGGGGATGCAGTAAGTTCTTTGTGCCTTCCTCAATTCTTTACTAGCTTCTAATTTTCTTCTCTCCCTTCCCAGTTTTCCCCTTTCATTCTCTCACTATCTCTTTATCCCTGTTTCTTGGCTTTTCCTGTTCTTTTTCCTTGTTCACAATCTTTTCTCATTCCTAGACTATTTTGACAACCCCCTGACTCCTCAGTCGTTTTTCCATTTCTTCTTTTATTCCTGCAGCCTCCATACAGATCACTCCATTAATTGCCATTTATCTTCCTAGACATTTCCTTTCTTCTTGACCATCCTTTACCTTTACATACACTGTGTCTGTTGTTCACTTTGCCAACCCCCCTGCTTGTTGCACTTTAGTTCTTTTTCATTTTCTCTTTACCCTAATTCAGCATGCTCCTTCTCTTTTAACTTTCATAGGCAGGAAATGATTGGTGAAGAAAGCCTGGACAGTCTGCTGGGGATGCGTGCCACAGATCTCCAAATTCTTCATACTCAAGTGGAGCAGAGATTAAATGAAAACCTGACCTTGTCACATGGAGATGAAAAGCCTTTTTTTTCTTTAGATGTCTCAAGGATTCCTAAAAAAATAGCCGTTCTTGATGAATCTGATGTAATTCCGGATGAACCCGAAGTTGTCATCAAGCCCAGCAAAGGCCACAGACGGGGCCGGGCAGGGGGAAGAAAGCATGGTATGTATGGGGTGATCCACTTCATGCCTCAGAGTCCCCAAGAGGCAAGGTAGTTTAGGGCTAAAGTGGGTCAAGAGATATCAGATAGGAGTAGAAATAAGTGGAAAGATCTTTTCGCAGAGAACCTTCCTAGAAAGAATCTACCCAAACTCAGGAAGACTCCAAGGCTTGGGTGGGAACACTGGCCTCAGTCCCCTCTATTGCTATTTCTTTTATAGCAGTCCTCCTAGCTCATACTAGATATTGGAAAAATATTTTATTTAAGCCTCCCATGCTTTCTTATCTATATCTCCTGATTTTCTCTGTAGCCCAGAAGAAGTTGAGAGAGACTGGCACAGAGCCAAGTCCCTTAGAAGGTGAAATTGATCAGAGTAAAGTTGCACCAATTGAGATGGAGGATACAGCCATCTATTTGAGTTCTCCAGTTTCTAAAGATGCTGAACAACAGCCTCCAGAGAAAGATATCTCAAAGGATGTTGCAATGACCCTGAGGATGCTGAGGAAAATACAAGACAAAAGAGAAAAGAAAACAGCTCAGAAACCCATAAAGAGGCATAAAAAAAAGACAAAGCAAGCTGAAGTTATAATTGAGGAACCTCTGCCTGATGTAAAGGAAGAACCAGTTGTGAAGAAGGTGCAAGACATAGGGCGGGGTGCCTTTGGAACTCCTGGCCGCAGGGCTACCCCTGGAGATGGCTCATCCTGGCGAGATGATCTATGTCGTCTTATGACCCTGAGGATATCTGGTTCCCAAACAACAATGTTGGAATCTCTAAACACTGAGTTAGTAACCATGGCTCAGAAGGTGCTGGCAGATAAGCGCCCCAGCTGGGAGCTCTTTCAGAAGATCTGTCCCCTGCTGAAGAAAGAAAGTGAAGTTCTGCTTGAGGACCTTGACTGGGATGTAGCTTGGCCAGAGGAGAAACCAATTTTTATTCATGAAGGAGCAATTAGAGAGGACAGTAAAGAAATACCAGAGGGACAGGGTCAAGTACAAAAGGAAGCAGGGGATATACAGGAATTACAGGAAATCCAGGTGATTCCCAAAAAGGGGAAGAAAAAGAAAGTTATTTTTTTAGAACCAGGTGACCTAATCAAGGGGAAACTAATGCTGAAGCAAGAAGATAAGAAACCATCTAAAAAGCCCTCTGTGCAAAAGAGGAAAGTAGTCCAGAAGGAAATAAAAGTGGATAAAAAAGAGAAGAAAATGACCACAAGAGAGAGGGATGTGAGTCTGGAAGTGGGAGAAATGGCCAAAGTAGAGGAGAAAGTGGTTGAGCAAGAAGTAAGACCAGTTATGGATGAGAAGAAGCTGTCTTTGCAGGATTGGAAAAAATCCTGGGATCAGTGGAAACAGGCTCATGGTGAGACAAAGGTATCCTGGAATGAATGGAAGAAGACTTTGGAAAGGGAGACTCTTGAGGAAGAGGAGAAACTACAAGAGGACAAAGAGAAGCTACCTCTAGATGAGGAAAAGCTGGCTGGGGAAAAGAGGAAGCTGGGATGGGATGAGGGGGCACATGTCTGGGAAACTATGACAGACAGGTCCAGGGAGCAAAAGTTCAAGGATGAAGAGGAATTGACCCTGGAGATAGAAGAATTGTTTTGGGAAAAAGAAGCATTAGAAGGAGAAGGAGAAGGAGAAGGAGAAGGAGAAGAAGGAGAAGGAGGAGAAGGAGGAGAAGGAGGAGAAGGAGGAGAAGAAGGAGAAGGAGAAGGAGAAGGAGAAGGAGAAGGAGAAGGAGAAGGAGAAGGAGAAGGAGAAGGAGAAGGAGAAGGAGAAGAAGGAGAAGGAGAAGGAGAAGGAGAAGAAGAGCTGTTGACAGAAGAGCAGAGACAGATCCGGAAAGAATATAAACAGGCCCAGGTTGAGAAGAAACGAACCCAAGCTGAAAGAAAACGAGCCCAAGAACAGAGGAAGCTGGCACAAGAAGAAGAGAGGCTGGCACAACAAGAGGGAAAGCTAGCTCAGGAAGAGAGGAAACTGGCCAGAGATCATGGGAAACTGATTCAGAGAGATAGGAAAATGGCCCATGCAGAGAGGAAGTTTGTCAAGAAAGAGGAAAAATTGGCCCAAAGAGCAGTGTGGCTAAGCCAGGGAGCAGAGAAATTGGCCCAGAATAGGACGAAACTGGCCAAAAAATTGGAGAAACTGGCTGGCAAAGAAGAGACAATAGCAAAGAAAGGAGGGAAGCTAGCTGAGGTTAAAACTATATTAGTCCCGAAAATGGAGGAAGTGATCCAAAAGGAGCAAGATCTGGCATGGCAGGAAAAGGAACTAGCCCAGGAATTGGAGGAGATGACATGGGAAGAGGAGGAAATGGCTTGGAAAGAAGAGCAACTAAATCAGGAAGAGGAGGATTTAGCTGAGGAAGAGGAGAGACTGGCTCAGAAGGAGGATCAACTGGCCTGGAAAGAGGATCAACTGGCTATGGAAGATGAAAAACTGATCCAGGAAGAAGAGCTGGTGATCCAGGAAGAGAATAAACTGGCTGCGGACAAAGAATTTATGCCTGAGGAAGAAGAAAGGCTTGCCCAGAAAAGGGAGCAATTGATGGAGAATAAGGAAAAAATGGCCCAGGAAAGGAAAATTTTGATCCAGAACAAAGTGGAACTTGCAAACAAGAAGAAAATACTAGCCAAGAAGACGACAACTCTGGATCAGGAGAAGAAGAAGCTGGGTCAGGAGAAGGTAAAATTGATTCATAGGAAAGAGAACTGGCACCAGCTTAAAGAAAACCTTTCCCAGAAAAAAAATGAATTAGTGCAAGTAAAGGAGAAACTGGACACGTACAAGAAAAAAATGTTTCAGGTAGAGGAGACGCTGGCAAAGAAAAAGGAGGAAATTTTCCAGAAGAAGGAGAAACTGGCTAACGTAGAGAAAAAACTGGCCCAAGTAGAGGAAAACCTGGCTGAGAAACAGCATAAGCTAGCCCAGGACAAAATGAAATTCACTATCGAGAAGAAGGAAGTACTTCAAAAACTGAACCTGCTCAGTAAAGAAGATGATATTACTAAGAAAGAAAAGAAATTGGGCAAGACAATGAAGAAACTGGCGCAGGAGAAGGTGAGACTGGTTGAAGAAAAGGAAACTCTCTCAAAGGGAGAGATTCAAGAAACCTCAACACAGAGGAAACTGAATAAGAATGAACTAGAACTACTTAAAAGGAAATTGTCACTAGTGGAGAAGATACTGGCATATGAAGATAGGATATTGGCCACAAAACAAAGTAACATTGCCAAAGAAAAATTAGAATTTGCCAGAGGAGATAGAATTTATGCCCAGGAAGAAAGGAAGCTAACCAAAGAAAAAACAAAGTTGACTAAAGGGAACATTTTCAAGAAACTATCAAAAATGAGCAAAACAATATTAAAGGTACTTCAAAACCTCATCAAAAAAGAAAGGATAGTAACCCAGGAAGAAACACAGATGACACAGATAGCAAGGTCATTCTTGGATCAGGAAAGAATATTGAACAACGAACAAAAAGAACTTGATGCCAGAAAGTTGAATATTTCTGAGGAACAATCAGAAATGACCCAAGATGAGGAGAAACTGGCTAGGAAACAGAGAAAACTGGCCAGAGAAATAAGAAGAATGATAAAGAAAGAGAAAAAAATAACTGAGGAGGAAAAGAGACTATCCAGGCAACGGAGACTAATCATGAAGGGAGAAGAGGAGGCAGGAACAACAGAGGAAGAAGAAG